ATATCAGATGCCCTAACAGTTTTTCTACGAGTCACGCGAGGAGGTGGTTGGGATACTGTCTCTGTTCTTAACGGAAACCTTTGCTCTACTGCTGTTGCAGGTTGCTTAGCTTTTCGTTTAGGTGGAGGTGGTAAACCTGACGATTCCCCTGCTCTAATAGAATTCGCTGTTTGTCTGATTTTTGGTGCCGTGGTGAACGGCTCTGCACTAGTATTTAAATTGCTTCAAACGCTAGCGGTTTTTAATTCAAACTTTCGTTCAAATAGAATGATCCAGTAGATCACTAAACTTTCAAGTCTTTGCTTTATCAAAAACAAAAGGAGACCCTCGCGGTGGGCTCCAGATGATACGCTTTGCACGGGGATGAACGTGAAAGTGCGAAACACGCAAACAAGGATCAAGCGCGTCGGGGGAAAACCCTAAACACCTAACACTCACTCACACACACACACACACACTATCACAATCTCGGTGCAAGAGTTCGAGGGCCTTTGGTATTAAGAAATACCACTTTTGTCTTCTTAGGTTTAAGTCTCAAGAGTTTTCGTTCAAAATTGGGTTTTTATTATAAGGTGTGGTTTAGAATAGTTCAATAGAACAAAGTATATCTTTCTGGGAACTTGGTCTCTTAAATGCAAAGTTCTTTGATCACAGTTTCTTTTATTAACACAAAACACGACTTTAATTGACTTTTATGACTCCCGTGAGTTTTTATTATGTCACTACGCTCCAAAACCAAGGGTACGAGTACGCTGTCTCGTCTAAAATGATACTGTGTCCTTAAAACCTCTTATTCAAAAGTCTCCAAGCAAGTTGACTCCCAAGTACGCTGGCTTCGTTCACACTGTAGAGCCACTCTAAGTCTTCATACGTCTACTACCTAGGTGTAGTTTAGTCTTTCCATGTTTCAGACATGCCATTTAGGCGTCTATGTCGTCTTTTCTGTATTTCTTGTATAAGCACGAGTTTTCACAATAAATCCATTATGTGTTTCTAAACCCTTGAGTAGTAATGCAATTCTTCTCCCTGCATTGGGTGTTTACTCTAGAACCTCTCCGTGCTCTATTTCATGGTAGGTGAATCTTAGATGGGATCCAAGTATAATGTCACGACGCGTACTGCTGCCAGTTCCAAAGCCTTTGTCCTATTTTCAGATTCCACGCATTTGCATTTTTAGTCAACTGCGCCGGGTATGCGCATCGACTCTTTGTATCATTGCAATTGTATGTAGTGTATTTATTAGAGACGACCTTTATCGGTAAAATCGTTGAAATCGAATTTTATACGGGTGAAATGGTTTCATCCGTATCACTGCGAGCTGCGGAGGTACGTTTCACCTTGGATTCTCCCTGTATACCCATTCCTCGTCCCTCCTCTCCACTATCTATCGTCCTTTCTCGATGGTCAATCTTCAATCGAGATCTCGAACCCGCCGCGGTAGCGCGAGCAGCGATTCGAGAATTTGAGATGGAGTCGTTAGGGAGGATGCTTGATTGTTCATGAAAGACCCGCCGCGGTAACGCGAGCTGCAGCCTTCCCTATTGAGCCCCTTCCTCCCGTTTCTCCATCTTCCCTCCTTCCACACTTCTCCTAATCCTTCGAATAGCGGACTTCACTACGCTTTGGTGAAGTCCGCGGTGCCCCCACCATTGTGAAATGGTGTTCGTGAACTCCTCGCGTAGTTGGTCGTGAGGAGAAGTCGTGGGTGGCTGACAACGTGTCAGCGCTTATCCCGGCAAGTGAGCAGTTACAGGGTGCTCAGCCGGCCGGACATGTTGTTGGTAAGGTACACAAGCCTAGCAGGCTTGTGTGGACGTGAGACGCTAGCGCGCGAACATACGATGCAAGTGGTAATGGATTCAAAAGATAGGTAACCCTAAAGTAGGGTTCCCTTTGTATATACGAAAAACAAACAACTATGTACAACTGAACACAACGGCGCATGATGTCAGTAGTTCTACTTCACATTGGCTCCCCAACCGAGCTTTTCAAATCTGCCCACGACGATCGTGAAAGCGCGCAAGTTTGTTGCCAGACCTGAGGCCTGAACATCAACCAAACGGCGAGGGAGAGGGTGAGTACAAACTCCAGGTTAACTTTCCCTGAAGTTTTGTTACAGTCCAGGTGAATGCCCCTTCGAGTCGCCATTTGAGCTCCAGCAGTGGCATGAGTTCGCCACTTAGCACAGACAAGTCTCCTCAGCAGCGGGCTTCTTTCCACGACGCCATTTTCCCTCATTGACCACGCAGAGGACTCGAACTACGGTAACTGAAAGACTAGAAGGTTGAAGAAGTGGCTGTAACATGGGCAGTACGAAATTAAAGCCTACTTGGTACGATTATCAGCTACAATTCTATCGTGATGTACCACCCCATTTTGCCGATGAAGTCCCTGTCTCAGCCAAGAATCGCCACAGCCATCCTTTCGCTCTTCACCCCATCTTCCCTTCTCACACCCCCTACTCATTCGTCCGTGTACGTTTCCACGTTCACTCGTTGCTTGAAGATGTACCTCCGATCTTGAGTATGCTCCCCACCATCAGGGGACAAGTCTACATCAAAGCCTGTAAGAACGTGCACCCGCATCGAATGACACAACTCACGTTGTCCGTACCGAAGTTGGCCCTTTTCTTCATTGTCGTCATGGCTAGCCAGCCGTTCTACCGTCCAACAGCAAGCTAGCTACAGAGAGATATCCGAACTACAACACCAAGAAGTGAATATTTACTTGCCTTTCCTCTCCAGTTCTGCTTAGATGGATGGGGTTGCTACCACCTGGGCCAGCAAGTCCTCTACCAGACTTTGTTAGTGTACGGTTAACGGCTTTGCCCTGCGTTCAGCGTACCCACAGCCAAAGAGCATTTGCACCGCTGAAGAGCGACGGTGAGCATCAGATGACGCTTTGCTTCATAACCCAACTTCCACACGTTCGAAGCACCGCACTAGGAATACCCCTGCGATCCAAACTCGAACGGACGTCAATTCGGACAGAGCTGGCGACTGCTATTCCTGGGTTTTAAGGAGTCGAGGTGGCGCGGCTCGTTAAAACGCTGAAAACCAATCGAGTCGTCTTTTCCCTGTGTTCTAGAATAGGAATCAGTAATTACGCAAGTTGTAATAGAGATAGTCGCAAACGAGAATGACTACCATTCACAACGACCTTCCTGTGGAGTGGCAGGGATTGTAGGGCCGATCTGTGCAGGAAGGGTTTAGGGAAACACGATGTAGGCATAGACAACGTACCACTGCGATTTCGACTCTTCCATCCAAGTCAGGTCCTGAATGCGAAGGTTTTGTAGTTCCAGTTTGCCGACGTCATGGCTGGTGTAGTCCTTCCAACCAGTCTCAGACAAGGGTTTGTAGCTGGTGTGGTTGCGTCAAATCGACCTTCCATTCTGTCGTTTCCCGTTGCCCTGATAGAAAACCCAAGATAAGTATACATAGTTCATGCATCACACTCGACCCACCTAACCGCACAGACCAACTTCTTCCGTTCCGCGCTAAACAGCACCGCACGTCTACGTAGTCCTGGGCACTGGATTTGGAGTCGCCAATGAGAAACCCTTGGGGGAACTGGGTCGGTCAGTCCGTCTTGAACAGTGAGGAGCGCTTTTCTGGAAGCCCTGAAAGGTTACTGATTGATAAATCAGATATGAAGACCTCCCATCGATGAGGGCTTACCATCTCAGCATGTTGAACTCCGGACCATTGGGCGTCGTGACCGTTGTCGTAATCTTGAGTCTGTTGTTGGTAAGCATACAGACAAGTGAGAACAGATATAACAGAGCCACCTTGTCGATGTCCTGCTTGTAATCTATGACAGTGATGAGATGCATGAGTTTGCCCCCTCTTATTGGACTTTGGTGAAACACTTCAAAGGGCGTTGGCCCTTACGTACGACGATTCCGCAATTTAAGCCGATCATGGGCGTCGAGTTGTACAACCCTTCTGGGGTGAAGATCTATCGCGACTGATTATCAGGGAGTGCGTGAGAGTTGAAGTGGGGGACGATTTTCTTTGAATTCAGAATGATCAGTTTCGTACGAGGCAAAAAGGTCGAGAAAAACTGGCAAGAAGCGCGCACAGAGTGAAGATGCTAGTTTGTATAAGCACCAGGCTGGCAGTGCCTAGCACGTAACAAGTTGCAGCCACGGCTTGTGGGAAGGGAATGCCTGCTTCCTTCGCGTATACTATCAGTTCCACACTGGGCAGCAACCTGCTATTCCCAATGTGTCTTGGAATACAGGAAGGGCGCTCGGTTTTGATCCTGGGCCCCCACAAACATTGTCACTCTGGACGAAGAGTGCTTTGCTGGCGGCCTCGATGATGCACAATTTCACTTTTCGATTCATAATCAGATCAAGAAGTTTCCGTAAAACCGTAAGACCTTACAGGACACCACTTTCATACTAGCCATTTGAGCCGAGGGCCAACTTTTTTGAGGGAAGTCTATGTCCCGCCTAGTGGTCAAGAAGTCAGATGGTGGTGAACACCACAATGTCCTTAACGGCAAGAACAGTCAGCTTCAGAAAAGGCGTGAAGCACAAGAAACAACTCATCGTGAAGGGCGCAAGATCGAAATCTCCACAAACTTGAGGCTACCCCACTCTGCACCGACGTCGCTGTCTACAAAGCCACAGGCTCTTAAAGGTCCTTTATCTCTTTGAACCCATACTATTTCCCAAAAATCTCCCGGGGCCAGAAATACCGTTGCTGATCGACATCTTCACAGAAGTCATGGAGGCCCATGGAGTTTGAGAGTAGGAGCTGGGGCCTTCCTCATCGAGGCTGAGAAGATGCGAAAGAGGCCTTCGCAGACGAGGCCCAGGACGTAGTGCCAATATAGGTCGTATTCAGAGATGGTGGAGAGGTAGATGGAGCTGCTGGTGGCTGCTTTGTGGGCACAGTCTGCGATGCTACTTTCCCTTGTTCAGAATCCGAAGTGGGGGGGGGCGGTTGAAGACGAATTGGACAAGGCCGGTTTGAAGGCGAATTCACCGTAGCAAGAGCGAATGGCACCGTCGAAGAGGAAGTCGACGTCGAAGAGTCCAAAGGGGGAACAACGCCCATACCATGCACGATACACTCCTGCAACGGTTCAACGGACGAACATGGTCCGCATCAACATTCCTCCCTCTCCTTCGCATCTGCCATCCGAGATCGGGCTTGAGAAGCACAATGAAACGATGATACCCAATTCCGAGTGATTATATGCACATTGTGTGGAGTAGAGGTTGAGTCCCAAGGTCAACCCTTTGAATCTCAACTTCCTTTCACGTCAATCAGGTCCATAGAAATCTCCTCACTGGAAACCTAGAATCAAGCACAACATCCTCAGGCACTCGGTTCGCCTACCCAGCATCGAACACGTCGATTCTAACAGTGGAGGAAGGACTTGGCATGGCGATGAAGCAGAAATGACGAGGCAGAGTTCATGTTGTCCGAGGCGTGGTTGGAAGTTTGGGTGAGGGTAGGGATGAAGGGTTAATAGGATTTGAAGTAGGGGGAGAGGCAGTTGAGGTGGAAGACGCGGGAATGCAAGTGGAATGGGGGATTGAGGTGGAAGGAAAACTTTGGATGATTGGAAGGGCCGGGACAGGAGTCCCTCAGCCATGTGTCTTCTTGCATTCCCTATTTTCGGTCCCTGGTCGTCACTCTGCATGATTTGGCCCAAGATGGGCTATGTCCTCATGCGGCTTTGGCTGAAAAAATCGAGGTCGCGTGCTAGGCTCTCCCTCTACACCGGCATCACTGTGTGCAGCCAACTTCCTTGAACAACTGCATGGTGTCGAAGGAGGGGCGGTTGAAACCTCACTGAATTCTCGACGAGGGTGCTTCAATTTGATTCCCATATTATGACTGGCACTAGTTCGGCCATGTAAACTGGGATGGCGGTATTGGCATCTCAAGGGGCGAGTACAAAGGAGAGTCGAAGCCATGCGATTATGGTGGGTTTATGTGGGGGGTGTTGCATAGTGCTTCAATGAGTTGTGGTTTACACCGACGTCACGGTACTGGCTGTGTACGAAGACTTGTAAGTATGTGTTTCCAGAGTGGTGGCCGCCTTTAGCAGGACTTGATCATCATGCGCTTCTGTCACTGAGGGTAGCAATTTTACATTGTAAGAAAGAAGTCCAAACTTGGAGAGGCATACCTCTGTCACAAAGCTGTTTGTGGTGCAACTCAAGGCCATGATGTTAGACGAACTTGAGGAGTGGATGATAAGGAGAATTGAGTCGTAATGTTTGCTTGATTGAGTTGTCTAGAACGTTTACCTGTTCACTACCACCATAGGTCCAAACGATGCCTTCTTCGCCGTGAACGTGGAATTTCAGCAAGAAGGTATTGCGCGTGCTCGCCAATCAAAGTGTTGATTATTGGGTAAAACTATTCAGAAACCCCCCTTTCTGGTAGAAACCAGGGTTTCCGAGGGTGGTTTGAGAAACCCCTGGCATATGGTCAAATTGAGTTCTCGGTGACCAGTGATGGTCACCGGCCGCGGCTATTACGTAGTCAACTAGTGTTCAGTGTTAACTCGCTCCCGGAGGGAATCTACTGGTCGTGGATTCCTCATGAGGTTATCATAGAGGACATGAGCCGAATGTGACAACGAGAACGAATGTCTGACGCTACACCATTGGTCAATGATAACAAATGTTGTGTGGCAAACGAAGGCTATCTGTCAGGCTCAAGTCAGGCCCAGAGAGACTCAACTTGATTGAACAGTTGAGGAAGCCGTGCTTCAACAGCTCGACTGCGCGTTTTTAGCATTTTGCGGGAGTTGTCGTGACCCAAGGTCTTGTGGTGGAACTCTGCGACACAGCGGGCAGGAAGGAGCTGGCCATGCATTGTAAGAGGTCCTCAGAGTCCAGAGCGGGGCATATACGTTGTTCAAGGATATGAGTGATACAACATTATCAAATATTTGGGACTTGAGACCGAATGGAAGGGGTCTTCAACCTTGACGCCAATGAGTATCCGTATGTCATACGTGTTCCCCAATTCTCCCACTCAGCGCGCTCTGTGTATGTTACTGACACGTGAATAACCTTGGAGTGAATGGTCAGAGACACGAGGAAGACAAGCAAGATGACCCACTTTTCAATGAATATTCTAATGATGCCACGCGTCGCCTCAAAGATGAGACCAGCGATACCCTTCACACCTCCACGGCGAGCAAGACGACGAACAGCGATACACAGGTCGGCGGTCCTGCATTGATTTTGCTCGACATCATCCTGGATTGCTTGACGAGCTTGGAAAATACCTGCCAGCAACTCCTCGGATCATTCGCCAGTGGGTTGCAAGTCTCGGAGCTTGTGCGCTTCAGCCCCAATCCATTAGATCCTCTTGTCCACCGTTCGTTCGGGTTCTGTTCTACCTATGGTGGTCGTTGAATAGATGAGATGATGATAGTGATGAAGGCACGTACCCTGAATGTTATCACGAGGCATTTCTCATGTAGAGTGGGTTGAGGACGTTGAGGTAGAGATACCAGGGTGGTGGGCGCGGCAGTTGTGAAGTGTACACGTGTGACATCACATAACGCCGTGGACAGCGAACCCATCAAATTTTCGGTCTGACTATAGAGGGTTTCTGGATAAGGTTATGCTAGAAACAGGGTTTCTACTAGAAAGGGGGGTTTCTGAATAGTTTTACCCTTGATTATTGTCCTTTCCTTTATCATTTACAAGTCGGCAATGTTTCGCCTGGCCAAATTCCCTTTGATTCATTCCATCCCAGTACGCTTTTCAACGAAAGAAAATTCGCTCATTAAGTGGCGCTTAACGTTAACCTTCAACAACTTAGGTTCAATCCCAATGAATGGGTGGTAGTCGACGAGCGTACTCAGTACCCAGAGCTGCCAGTATTCTCCTTCTGGTGTAGACAACCTTATTTTCCAGAAGTTTGGGGGTACGAGACACCCACCAGCAGGGATGGCGGCTGCTAAAATTCTGGACGTTCGAGAAGAAGTCCTGGCGCTCAATTTGAGGTCTTATCAGTGCCCCCCTAATTCCTGCAGGAATCCGGTCATTCCTGCGGATTCCGGTGGATTCCGGAGGAATGAAATTTGGCAGGGAGGCCTGCTATTTTTGTCATTCCGGTGCCTTACCATTCCGGCGGAATTTGGGCATTCCGGAATTGACACCGGAATGTTCCGCAGGACTGACAGGAACGGAATGGAACGGAATCCGGTCCTTTGTTTGTTTATTTTACTTCTGTTACCAAACAACGGCAACGTTACCAAACAAATGCAATACCCTTTCCTTTCCACCCACCACCAACCACATTGACAACAGCGACAACGACGACAACGCCACACGACCAACAACGGCCACGACCACCCCAGCAACAAACGGCGACGACCACGGCCAGCGACGTGGCAACGAAACGGACAACGACAACGACAACGACGTGGCGCCAGCACCATCCACGAGCGCCGACCACCATCCACGAGCACCTCCATCAACCAACGGCGACCAGCGCCCACCACTATCCACGAGCGCCCACCACGCGAACGCCGCGATGCCACGTCACCAACCAAACGAGGCCCCACGGCACCAACGATGGCTCCAACCACGACCACCACACCAGCCAGCCACGAACAACACACCACGCACCCACCAGCACCCTCAAACAACGCCGACCAGCGCCCACTGCCACCCAGGAGTGCCCACCACCACCACGATCAACAAACGGCGAGCAGCACCCCACCAATGACCACGACAACGACAACGACGTGACAACGACGACGTCCACGTCCAAACGACGACACGCGACGACGACAACGCGACGATGACAAAACGACGACAACAACGCGACGACAACAACGCGACGACAACAAAACGACGATGACAACGATGGACGACGAGGCCCAGCACCACCCCCTCCCCCTTTATCAGTCCCCACCACTCTCTCCCCCCTCCTTCAGTCCCCCTCCCACCACTCCCTCCCCAGGGCCTGCCCCACACCATTGCCTGTCCCTCCTCCCTCCCTTCCTCCCCCTTTCTTATGCTGATCACAGCCCCACACCACTCCCTGTCCCTCACTTCCTTCCTTCCTTCCTCCCCCCTTCCTCCTCCCTTCCTTCCTCCTCCCTTCCTTCCTCCCCCCTTCCTCCCTCCCCCCTTCCTCCCTCCCTCCATCCCTTCCTTATCCTGATGACAGCCCCACACCACTCCCTGTCCCTCCCTTCCTTCCTTCCTTCCTCTCCCCCTCCCCCCCTTTCTTCCTGCCCCTTCATTTAACTTAGAAAATAGTAAATTAGATGTATATTTGAATTTTAATATATAAATTTTATAAGAAAGTGTTGATATCCTTTAAGTCAGTGTGAAGAAGTGTAAATGTATCTAGCACAAAGAGAAGGTGTTGTATCTGTTGTATTCTGGTCCCATTCCTGTGGATTCCTGAGGATTCTTGAGGATTCCTGAGGACTCCTGAGGAATCCTGTCCCATTCCTGAGGACTCCTGAGGAATCCTGTCCCATTCCTGAGGAATCCTGAGGATTCCTGTGGATTCCTGTGGATTCCTGCAGGAATGGGTGGGGCACTGTAAAGTACTGGGCCATTCACAACAACCCAACTCCATTTATAATAACCCTCAACTATTTCCTGCTATGCTACCATGGCTATTTCCTTATGGCCTTGGAGGTATCGAAAATGATATGATACCCTATAACATATCTACTATGGCCCACAAGTGTTTACTGTTAATGTATCATGATAAGCGATTCCAAATGGATCCACATTTTCCACTTATTGCATTCAATCATGAACAAATACAACAAAGTATGACTGGAGGTTATCTTACAACCAAAAAGTCCTCATTTGATTCAGTAACTGAACGCTTGCTTAACCTTGATATGCAAGTTATATCTAGCATAAACAAAAGACTTGCTTCAGGTGAACGAGTAAAACCAGAAACTGAGCAAGAAAAAGAATGCTTTCAATTGTTAAAGGATCTGGATTCTGTTGGAGGTCACGTGCAAGGTTCAACAACATCAAAGAAGTACATGCGAAATGAAGTCTGGTCACTTATATCATACATTGGTGCTCCCTCCTGGTTCATTACACTTTCTCCAGCAGATGGCAA